GGGGGGGGGGGGGGGGGGGGGGGGGGCAGAGGGGGGGCAGAGGGGACCCCCCTCAATATTTGCAAACGGGCCGAAATTCATTGTCGGCAGGCGTTGGGTTTCCAGCCGATATCGCTTTCAAGGCTTGTTGGTCGGATCTCCCGGCCTATTCACTAATGGCCGTGTCCCTTTTGTCCACGGATTTGCCAGCTGCAAAAGTGAAAAACTCTCAGACGACGAACCAGATGCAAACTGGGGAGGTCCAAATCCACCTTTCCCCATCTTCTAGCTCCACCTTCTAACTCCACCTTCTAGTTTCACCTTCTAGCTCCACCTAATAGTTCCACCTTGTAGCTCCACCTTCTAGGTCCACCTAATAGTTCCACCTAATAGTTCCACCTTGTAGCTCCACCTAATAGCTCTACCTTCATGACGATCCACTTCCTAACGAGAGATAAATCGCGCGTTCCGTCCATTGTTTATGGAACGGGGGCTGATATTGATGTGAAGGCGGGGGATATATGTTCCGATGAGTCAGGCAGTTAATAATGTCACCATCCATTCAGGGCCCGAGACGGGAGAGAGATTTATGAGATCTTCCCCTTTCCACGCGAACTTGATGAGAGTTGTTATCCGCGATAGCGTGATCCGGCCGAGTGTATAAAACCCTTTTTTCCTCCCCTCCCCGTTCCTTATTATATCGAGATCATGCTCGTCCCCTGCTGGGGGGGGGGGCACCGGGGGTGCTTCCAGGTAATGGGGGAAACGGTACAGGTACCCGTCCCGTCGCGTGTACCGGGAAAATCACTGTCATTCCGAATGGCATTCCTCATGCGCCGCGCTCTTTTCCAGGCCGAATGGCGACGGTCGAGGGGGGCAGGAGGGGGGGCAGGGGGGGCAAAGGGGGGCGGAGAGGAAAGGGGTTCATTGTGACCCGATTGAAACCGGCGACAAATAAAGTACAACAATTGCCGCGCTCGAATGGGCCAGCTGTATGGGTTTGTGACAAGTTTCTCGCTCCCATTCTCTCTCGACCACCCTCACACCCTTCTCTTTGCGGCTTTCTTCGCCTTCAAAAGAGCAAAATTTGGATGTATACACAGGGATTGGTGGCGTTTAAGGGGGTGGAGGGGGGGGGTTAAGGGACAATGGGGCAACTGCCCCCCCAGAATTATTTACTGCCACCTTTCCGAACGAAATCACAATCTTGTGGAGTGAAACATTTCTGCTCGGCATTTTACGAGATGCATTCACACTATTGATAAATATTTGACCTGAAATATGACCTGAATACGAGTCATCATTAACAAATATTTATTTGCTTTTTTCATAACGTTATTGGCATTAATTTCCAGGGGATTTCTAAAATGGGGAGTCAGGAGGAAGCAGACGACTCCGCTGACGTCACGTTTGGTTCCTCGGCCCTCCTCATTTCCCCCGCATCGCGAGCACTTCAGTTAAAGTGCGCAGATACACAATGCGACTTTCGTGTGCGTTCTTATCGAAATAGATGGCTTCCCATCTTTTTTATTTGCATGTTTACTGGCCGCGTACGGATAATCTCCATCGATTGCGCAAGATGATGTTGAAATTTCAACCGCAGAGATATCTGCTTCCACTTTTTGCGACTGTCTTTGGACAGAAATTTCCTGCAATTTCTTCGAAAAAGTTCAAATTAACAATATTTTGAAAAAAAATTTGAGCAAAAAATGCTCAAGGTACAAGTTGAAGATCCTTCAACTGAGAATATAAAGTTGCTCCTCGTCATTTAAATGGCAAGCGTTGCTTTGGCTCCTGAGTCCTTTTACCGCCGAAATAGTTGTGCAATTTTTTTTTTTTTTGCTCGCTGGCTCAAATGGGTCGTATCAGTAATTTCTTCATCCTGCATTTCATCCGATTCAAATTGCCAAAACGAATGAAATTCAATGTTGCAAGGCTGCGCATCCACAAAACCAAACAAGCATCGAAATTCGAGATACAGCCATATCGTGCCAGCCGTATAATGCCAGCCATATCGTGCCAGCCGTATAATGCCTGCCATATCGTGCCAGCCGTATAATGCCAGCCATATCGTGCCAGCCGTATCGTGCTTGTTCGACAAATTTGCACTAAATGGCCGGCCATGTAATGCACCGTGAAGGATTTCACGGACGTGCGTCCCTTTTTTTGTATTTTTAATAGACCGTGTCCAATATGGGACTGTGAAGGCGGAAACGCTTTTTTATTAATCGGTTTTGGATTGCGACCAATGATTTTCCGATCTCGAGATTCGTCGATCCAGAAATGTTCACCCCTAACGGCATTTTTTTATATTAAAAAAAGAATCCAACCCCGAAAAGTTCCGATCGTAATTTCTTTTTTCTCGATGGCGGGCTTAACTTTTCATATATTGCCAGCTTATTCGCGATTGATCGCTCAATTCTGCACAATTTTTTTTCGCAAACCACACCATACCGCTGATTACTTAAAAAAAACAAACAAACTTGAGGCTTAGCTCGATCGAAGGCCTCTCTAAATCACCACTAGATGTCTCTCACGTGAGAAACGAAATATGGAACAAGTTTTTCGCTCAGACGAAGGAGAGGCGAGCCCGGAGTTTGTTTTATCGCTGACGAAGAAATGCAAAGCAATTAGATATTCAGGCGCGATCCACGCAGTTGCCAAGGGCGACCGAACGAGCCATTAACGAGAAAGGCGGTGCCTTTGCATACGGCCGGATTTCTCTTTTTTTCCCTCTGGGGGAAAGGCTTCGGAAAAGACTTCGAAAGGGAAGGAATGATCTGTTGAGGGTGAATAAATGTTTCTCGAAGGGTTTGCAACGTCATGCTAGTCCGTCATTTGCAAGTAACAGTTTCTTGAGCTATTGCTCATAGAAAACCATGGTATGATTTGAGAACTTCGTACTTTTATCCTATGAATTTTCAAGATCGTCGTTGAGATAACAACAGAAGTAGGCTAAGACATCTTCGCTTCAAACCTATTGTTCGAAGCTCCACGTGTAAATATGGAGGTACAATATCGTGAATAATAATTTCAGCACCAAGGGAGTGAAATTACTGCGCATGTGAGACGATGTGTAAGAATGAGAGAGAAACTTATTGTTATTGCGCTTTAGTGCTCGACCTTTCAGGCTGGTTGGCCTAAAACCTGCATCTCTTACAAAGTGAAAAGTCGAAGTCTTTGAACTCAAGCCGAACCGGAAGTCAATGGGGACTCGAAAATGGACAGCAAAAAAAAGAAAAGTGTAAAAGTGGCTGTCCATCACGAGGGAAACCACAATGGCGAGGGAAGAGGGGGAGACGAGATTTATGCCGAGGAGGACACGTAAGAAGTGCCACCAACAGGCATATTCGACTCAGCAACAGGCGTATTCGACTCCGCAGAGTCGAATATGCCTGAAAGGCGGCGCGTCATAAACTTCCTGTCCCTCCTCTTTTCATCGGATCATACGCCATTCACCGATCTCATCTTTTCCATCTTCGTCATCCTCCGCCTTCTTCCGACGTGATGGGAGTGGAATCGTGATGCAAAAATCCCCGCCCGTCGGCCAGGGAGTCGGGGCCCTGAAAGGGCCGAATCGAACATGCCCAAGGGGCACACGGGCTCCCATTGTCGATGAAAAGACTTCCTGCCTGCGTGTGTGTGTCTGTATGTGATACAATTTGTCTCACGAGTTTTTGTGCCGCTTTTGTGGTCTCGTTACACGCCGGGCGCGACCAATAGATCACGCCAAATAGGGTCCCTCTTTCTGATTCTTTTTTTTTTTCGAGGGGAGTGACATGGAACACAAAACGGGGGGCTGTAACGCGTAAAATCCAAGCCGACCCGCCCACCTCCGGTCTCTTTTCATCCAAGATTTTCTCCTTCCTCCCTTCCTTCATTATGAATAATAGCTGGGGACAAAAGGATCGAAGGCAATCACGATGAGGTTTTCTCGTTCGTGCAATTAATATCCATTCCCGAGTTCCGAGACCATGCCAGGGGATCGATGAGTGCAAAAGTCGCCCTTCCCCATCAATGTTTCACGTGAGAATCGCCCTTTTGTTCCCCTACTCGTCGGAATATTTCCTCTAATAATCCGGACAATGGTACTCGACGAGAAATCAGGGGTAGCGATGAGAGGAGCCATCAACTATTTTCTTTTCAGCCTTGATCCGTAATTATTCCTAGCACAGGCCCAGGTAAATGCATCTTTTATGAGTCGGCCGAGGCCTGGAGAACCGTCAAGCCTCTGGGAATATTTTCGAATAGGCCCATTTAGGGTCATCTCACGTATGCATGTCCACCAGCTGTGAAATCGATGTAACAGGATAAAGCGCCCACATTCATGTGTGTGTCCCGTTTAATTGCATGAGGGAAGTGTTATTGAAAGAGGAAAGAGAGAACAAGCGCGCACAATGTTGTCCCTCCCTCCCTTTTATTGAAGGGTGTGTGTTGATATATCCACGGAGCTAAAGAGGGACATGGGTGGAAGGAGGTAATGGAGTTGATTAGACATGTAATGCCCCTTTATGGGATTATTTCGGGGCCCGACTCGGCTTTTTAATAAAGCCCGGCCCCAAATCCCTTCCCACATGCATGTATATGTGTGTGTTTTTTCGGTCCCCGTCTTTTATCGCCTCCATTACCGCACGAGGAGGAGGGTCAACGAGAGATACAAAATGAAGGAATATCTCTGGCAGTCCGGTCCACTGCACCAACATAAAAGGGGGACATTGGTAACGTTCACACGTGATCGTGATGGATGAAGCCTCTATCTCGGACCTTATACTGTATAGAGGGAAAAAAAATGTCCCCGGTCTTCTTCCTATAAATATGATACCCGTCCTACCATCAGTCTCCATATTGGCCCTGTCCTGCGAAAGAAAAAGTCCATCCTCAGTGATAATATAGTGTATTAATCATTTCTTAAAGATTCCAGCACCGCGTATTTCATATGACAAGTTCAATGGCTTTGTTCTCGGAGACAATCAACCAATCCTTTTCAGGCTGCACATACAAGACTTCATAATTCGATATGCAATTCCACTGGAAATCCTGTATAAGGCCTGCATGTGACTAGACGACACTCCGCCATTATTTTTTATAGATAACCCTGTGCTTGTATACCCTGTAGGATTTCGTCATACAACCTATGTTCTGATTTATGCCGCTTGCGTATTGTTACCATGCAGATCCCGAACTGCATCTTCATCCATGTGACGCCCTGGATCGACGAAAAACGAGTTGGTTGGCGAATAAAATATCACAGTCACCTTCACACGTGACCTTGAGCTCGGTTCACCGGTGGAGTTCACAGTTCAACGAACTCATCCCAACGCTGCAAATGACTTAATAATCAAATGAATTATCTTCGCGGACAACGAACGGATTGAGCCGTTACAGTCCATTCGCAGTATGTGAGCCAGTGGGCTCAGTTATGCCACCATACGTTTTGGGGTGGAGGAGGGTAATAGACGGGGATGGGGGGTGGCGGTGGAAAGCTCGGCAGAGGCTGCTGCTGGTGCTCTGGAGGTGGATGGGTGGTGGTGCACGGTTTCCCATCGCGGACGAGGACTGGCACGGCCACTTTTCTTGGGGTCTCCATGGGTGGAGGCGGTGATGTGTGGTGGTAGTCTAGGTCTTGATGATGCTGGTGCTTTCCTGTCGCTTCCTGGTTGGAACGCTTCGTCTTGTAACGGTGGTTCTGGAACCAGATTTTCACCTGGAGATGGGAATAATAGGAAAGTGTCATCCACGATATGTATTTGTATCCCTATGGAATGCATCGAATTACAGAGGAGTTAAATTACTTTTAATAGCATTGAATCCCTATAGCTGTTGAGAACTTTATGATTTCTATGGAATTGCAATCCGAAGTTATTAAAAATAAAAGTGGTTAAGCGAAAAGCATAAACATTTGAGCAATTACATGACATTGAAGAAATTCCGCAACTGCTGTTCCTGTCAATCGTTCACCTACTGAAACATTATAAGTAAATTATCCTTACGGACAACCATGAAATATAGGAAAAGTAATATTGCTCAGTTAGAGGGGGAAAATATACTCAAGTGCATAATTGTAGTTTATTATTAACTTGAGAGTAACTAGGACAAACAAACTCTCAGAGGTACCCCGGCGGGTCCGAATTTTGAAACGCCACTTGACCTATGACCATCCCCGGACCAAATGAGGAAGCCGTGCAAAGTTTGGTCGGACTGGGATCAAAAGCGTGGCAGTGCATAAAGAACAGACACACACACACACAAACAAACAAACACTCTGAATATAAGTAGTATAAATTTTACCTTACCGTAACCATGAGAGTAGACAAGGAAGTTGATTCACATGATGTACGGTACAACAGGGAGGCTTAACTCCTCCCTCAAAAAGTTAGATTTCAATTCCACTTCGATTTTTGGAGACGTTTGTTTATTATCTATTGCCTATTAATTCCTCATCCAATTCTTCAGCATCCATCCATACGTGAATCTCATAGGTTTACATCGTGACAAGAACACATGTACATTGTGCAGATTTTTTCACACCTGTGTGGGAGTGAGGTTGATGAGCGTGGCGAGATGCTCCCTTTCGGGGGCGGAGAGGTATCGTTGTTGTCGGAATCTCCTCTCCAGCTCGAATGTCTGCTGCTTGGTGAAAAGAACCCGTCGCTTCCGTTTCTTGTTCCCCGCGCTCGACTTCCCCTCCAAGGACTTCGGGCTTCCCCCGGCCTCCTCCTGAGGTGAACCCCGGGAGCTTTCCTCTCCTTCATCCTTCCAGGCTTGACCGTTGGCAGTGGCCGTGGACGTGACCTGACACGGGCTTAGGTCACGGCTCGGCGAAGACATTTCTTGTTTCAGGTAGTCTCCGTGCGGGAGGCTTGCGCTCGTGTCCGGCCGATAGTGGCATTCGTCGGAGTACTCTTGTATCGGTACTGGCACGATTGGAGCCACATCTGTCGGGATATTCAATATATCAATGACTGAACACGGATATGAAAATGGTGACTTCTCATCTTTGCAGAAATTCGTTGAGATTTGAAGTGTAATAGCGCAATTTGAACACATTTGAATTGATTTGCTGACCATGAGTTATAAATTCATAATGCATGAGCTAATTGAGTTCATGGGGAATTCCCGTTATTTTGAATTATCAAACATGGCTGTGAATTTTTATAGTTAGTCAAGCTTACTTGGATACGCGGATGAGTTCCAGCTCTCATAATCTGGAGGTGTGTAATATGTATTCTGAATGCTCGGGAGTGACTCGAACGCAGGTCCTGAAAACAGACATGCGTAACTAAATGCAGAACATATTCATCTGAGTTTGATGTCAAGGCGCATCTCAAACTCACCTGGTTTTTCCTCCTCTTGATCGAGGATATTTCTCACCATGAAACTTTGCGGCCTGAAGTGCACCCCCGATTTCACGTCATACAACCTGGAAAAATGATAGCATTGATGCATGAAATAGGGTGTGAATGGCGTGTCCTCCAACAGGTGGGATAAACACGAATCCGCCGGAAACCCCCAGGAGAGTGGTTCTTAGAGAGGGGCTTTTAAGCTTAATCTTTGAAAATGGGGGTCTTATAATCTGGACGGGAATGTAACTGTGTGTAGACCTGTGTTATAATTTGGACCACCTAGAATGAGAGAGAGGCTGGTCCGGCCCAATAGGCGGGGTCTCACTCCATAATATTCCTCCGTAAAGGAATCACCATATGAAAAGCCCCCGCAGCTGTTCAACACTTTTCCGTGTATTTACTTTAGGAAATGAGATGCCTTGGTCCCCTCTCTCCCGGGGTCCCCCTCGACAATGGACGGCGCCAAGCCGTCTGTTGGGACGCATTTTATCAGGAGATTTCCTTCACCCTTTTTTTTCCCGTTCTCTGCAAACCCAGGTGTGTTGTTGAAGAGCCACCTCTTCAACCGGCTTATCCCTAGGAAAGAACCTACTACTTCTGAACAGTCTTCATTGGGGTGTGGTCGTATACTGTATATACCCTTGTTCGGAAGGGGGCTGAGGGGGGTTTGCTTGCCAACGTTTATCTGCCTGCATGGGAGGCTCTTGAGGAAATACTGCTGACACAATGTTTGATCTGCCTCCCTGACAGCACCCTGAAGCAAGGCTTTCTCTTTCTGCATATGCAATATCGCACTCTCATTCACTGTGAATTCAAATCTTCGCGAGATGGTTGCATCTGGTTACCTGCCTTGTTTGGTACCCCTCAAGGAAACGCGATAGCACACCTGAAAAACAGAGCTCTCGCCTCGCTTATGCTTAAGGCATACACTCGCACATGCCGTGTGGCAGAACTAGAAGATAAAGGCTGAAAACGTAAGAAGCCTAGACATATTTTGTCGAAAAGTATTCTGCGTCGCGAAGCAGGAAAAAATGATACGAGTCAAGCACATGTGAGATAGAACAAATGCCGAGCTTTCGAAGCTGACTAGACATAGATTACAGACTTCATCTAGCGAAGAACCAAAAGCAATAGTCAATGATAAACGATCAACTACGAGTGCACCCAACTGGGATTACTCCATATCCCCTGTTAAATTTCCCCCGGGAATCGTAGGAACACGAATCCGCGTCCCGAGCTAGACGGACCGATGAGATGCCACTGGAGGCCAGAGACCAGAGAGAGTAGTCGCACTGAAGCAAACAGAAGTTGAAATCCCTCCGATTCTACACAGTGTCATGTATACAATAAGTATCACTTAGACACAATAACTTTCCAAAGAGGCATGTTCGAGAGGCTTGGGTGAAGTGGTCCCTCGAGTACCCCTCCTTTTATAAAGTCCCCTCACTCGAAAACCCACCGGTAATCGTCTTCGGGTGGAGGCGGTTGGAGGACCTGGGATATCCAGAAGGGGGTGGAGGCGGAGGCGGAGCACGGATCCTCGGCGTAGCATTCCCCCTGGTGGGCCTCGTACGTGCTGGCCATCCCCTGGATGCCGTCCCTAGAGGCTCAAGACACCAAAGACAACGGGGAACTGTTGTCCATATGAAGATAGGAAGGCAGACACCAACCATCTCTCTTATCTCTCGCCCTCCCTCTCTCTCTGCCTCTGCTATGTTTGAACAAGCTCTCTCTTGCGTTGGTGTGGGTGTCGATGGATGACCATGGTTCAGCATCATTCCTCAAATTGCCCAATCGTTTTTTTTTTCACGCCCATGCCTAGTCAGTGGGTGAGGAAAGGGATCGGATGTCAACGACACCGACGTGATGTTCGTCAGAGAAATGTCGCAAAAAATAAATGACATGCAAAGTTCAGTGAACCGCCATTCGCTTCGTGACCAATCCTTTCCCCATCAGTGACTTGGAATAAATACTTTCATGCAGCTCTCACCAGACTCTCAAGCTATTTCAACATCAGAATGACGTCATTAATTAGGACTATCTCATTTCCCAAACTTGAAGACAGTTTTACGATTTGTTGCACTTACAATTGTATCATAGCACGAGGCTGAAGTTTGCAGCGGGTGCGTAAATGCAAAAAGATCCCATCCGTAAAGAATCCTGGGAGAAGAATGCGTTCAAAAATATATGCTAAACATTACCACTCCAGTCAAATTTATAAACATGATCAGAACTGGACTTTTACCTCTACTCAAGGTACTCGCTAACTTTGCTAACGCTCGTACAGCACTGCGGGAGCGGTGAATTCTTCCTTGCATGGTCCCCGTCCCGAAGAAAGGCAACATTAGCGATCGATAATGAAGTGGCCTTGAGTGAAACCCTCGGCCCATCTATTGAAAAAGTTTCATCACACGACCCGTGCAAACACTAGAAAAGGATCATCAGCGGCTTTTCAGCGAGGCCCTTTGGCCCCTTGTGCAATCGCGCTGATAGCGTGTCAGCACGCAGCTTTCGTCGAAGTTCTCCAGCTTCAAGCTTCGCGAAAACGTCACTGCAACTTACAAACGTAACGATCCTGGCAAACATCAGGTCCACCCAGGAACAAATTTATCACGAAGTTTGAAAGTGAACGCGAGGGACGCGCTAGGGAGGTCGGTCGGCCCCCGACCGTTGCCACGTGCACCGCCTCCATGCATTCTGTTTTCTCCTCCGTCATCCTTTTCTTTTCACATCCCACGTTTTTCGTCTGCTTCGACTCCGACCCAGCATTCAAAGATGAACCGAGCTTGGTTTATTTATTCTTTACCTTCTGTATGCCTCAGGAGTTGTGCCATTATTTGTCTTAGACTTTTAGCGTTCAATGCAGTAATTCCGAGGGGGGCTCGGGGACCCTCGCAGGCAATCGAGGACACGAGACAAGGCGCATATGCGTTGTGTTTGCCCATGCAGTCTGTGGTGGTCGTCGTTAAAAGACCTCGGTAGTTGGAATCCTCGTGTTATCTCGATCGGGATTCGTGCATGGCTCCAAGATAACGAATCCTTAGAATAATAATCGTCCCTCAATCGCTTATCTCTCTCTGGCTTTCTGTTTTCTTTTCAAATCACTCCCATATTTGTCTATTTTGATAAGGGGATGAACCTTTGATCCGAATGTCCTCCCTCTAATCTCATCCGTTTCGAAGTTTTTCCTCCAATACAGGAAACGTTACAGGCCTGTTATAGACCTGCAGACCTTAAAAGGTAGGGGAGGAAGACTAGCCCACGATTTCCGGGAAGGAAACAAGAGAAAGAAGGGATCGCTTTGTCTCTTTTGTCGGCGCTGGATTCGGACAAGGCTATTAGTGGCGGTCAGATAAGGGATCGAAGGATTGACATATTCTTCGCTTCCCTCCTTTGACAGGAGGATGAGTCTACAGGGTTGCCAACTGGCTTCTCGCATGGCTGCTTACCATCAATAGGGGAGAAACCCCAGAGGATGAATGACTTTTTTATTTGTCACACCAGCTAATCGATACGACGAGATACGATTGTTGTGCCCATATCCTTCCCTGTCTCCCCTCTTTTAGGTTGTGATATAATTACCGGCCGGCAGTATTTTGTGTGGCAACACTGCGGCGCATGCAGCTCATTGTGATGCATGTTTGCACTGCCGCTTGGTTTGCTTCTCGAGGGTCATTTCGACATTTTTCTCTCTCCCCCACACCCCCGGCTCTCTTTTAATCCCACTTCCTGCTTTTACGCTCTGATGAAGCTTTCGATCTCGCTCATGTGATCCAGAGCTGGATAAAAAAAAAAAAATCCCCGGCCTCAATTTTTTCCCCAGGTGTTGTGATTCGCTTCTCTTCAGAAATCGACTCAAGGATTGTATTTTTTAACAAATTCAAAACTTCCGATTTCTTTTCAATTTTATTTATTGTCTCTCCACGCGAAAAAAAGCTTCCGGTTCAATCTATTCGAATGGGATTTGCTCAGCGAAAACAATCTAAAAGCCCCAAAAAATACGAATTGGAAGCGAATTGCTCATCTTCCTCATTGACTGCCAACACCATAACACACTTCTAACAAAATGGGCGTTAAAGCAATTCCTTCCCTTCATCGTAGCCTACATAAAGCCTACAATTTTCAATTGAGGTCTATTTAACAGTATTTAAATATAAGGGTTTTAGTGACAATTTTTGCGCTGCCAACTGCCAAAAAAGTTTTTCATTTGAGACATTCTTTCACTTGACCCAGACTCAGAAATAGAACACTTCAAATATAAAAATACTCAAATATTCAAGTAAAGAAAAAAAGAGAGTATGAAAAAATCACCGAGAAAGAATTTAAAAAATAAGTCTTAATATACTGCGAGAAATGTCAGGAAGCCCCCAATCCACAAAGCAATTCATGCCCTGTCTCTGTCTCTGAACCTCTCTAAAGAAACTGAGGCGAGTTTTAAAAAAGTAATTGCGATGTGGCAACACTGTCAGGCTCGGCTCAAGGACGGAACGGCAACGGCGACGCGGCCGTGATAGGCCTAATAAACTTTGAACGCGTTTTCTGTCTGATTTCGCCTATCTCACCGGTGTCGCCCCTTTTGGAGAGTCACGATTTACGCAATCTTCGCTTTGGGGAAAAAAAAAAAACATGCATCCGGTGAGCAATCGGAATTCCTGCGCTTTTTCCGAGCTCCCTTGCTCGCATTTACGAGGTAGAAATGAAATAGAAATGCCGTTTATTGCTGATTGAATTTTCCACTATAAGCATCAGTCTCAACGCGTAAGTCTGATTTGACTTACGATCGATTCTTTCAACTGAGCTGGAAGTTCAAATATCACGGCTACCTCGCATTCTCTTCTTTACATTGTTGCTCTGAGGAATGAAAGAGCAGATTTGGGAGATTCGCAAGGACATGCCAAGTCTTAATGCGCGATTTCTAAATGACACCAAGGTTTCTTTCGAATTTGAACTACAGAAACCACATCAACACCTAATACAGTAGTTTCAGGACGTGCTCGTTTAGCAACAGAGTTGTGAGGGAAATCATTATCTTATATGGGCCTAACGACGTCAGCGAAACGCGAGGCGACGACTGAGGTCCAGCGCGAGGTTGGGCATCTTCGATGACAGAGGATTAAAATAAGACAGTGAGGGAGAAGTTTCTGGATTTGTGAAGCGATTTTGTGAATTGAGAAACGGGGTATACGGTCTCGGTGAACGTTCTTTGATTTCTTTTCTTCCCCTTAGGCTTCATTTGCTGAATTCGATTTATGTCGGATGGATAAGCCAATTCACGAATCGAATATGCCCTCAACTGCGTCTTTGGAGCTCGTTCTGACCCGAGAACTTCCTTCCCCACGTCGGGATTGGAGCCCGGGACAGAAATTGAAGACGGCGCGCGATCGGTCACAAATTGGACGATCCTGCAGATTCTCAAGAATGAAATCAAGCCGGGAAGTACATCGCAAGAACAATGGTTCCCAACTTCATCTCGGCCCTTCCCGACCAAGTCTCACCTGTACGTCCAAGTTGTGTTCTCTGGGTCATGTTAACCGAAATTGAATGATTCCTGCTGAGGAATAAGTTGATCGTGACAGGAGCTTGAACTATAGGCCTATGTTAACTCATCTCGTTCTGCTCTCGGAATTAAAAATATTTGCTCCAAGCAAACAGAGTCAAAGACTCTATTCCTTGCAGACATCTGTCCTTGAATTTTGGGAAAGGGATTGGGAGAAGGATAGAATCAATAGAACTCAGCCGGGCATAATGAGAGGCAGCCCTTATACATACAACATATTTTAGTAACTCACTAGATATCTCAACAACAACAAAACAGTGGCCCCATCGATCTTATAGGGAGTGGGAAGTCATCCCAAAGTCACTGTACAATAGGGATTTCAATGCATTATTTAACTGAAGGTGATTGTAGGTGAAATTTCGGGCTTTTTCCTTTGTCACATAAATTTGTTGGCGTGACAGTCCGAGGGATGAGCCTAGTATTCTGAAATCCATTCGAGTGCGAAAATCACTGAAGATCCTCCTCTATACAGGGTTCCCATAAGTTATCATACGGTTTTCTAATTTTGTGTTTACAGAAGCTGTAAGTTGAAATGGCCGATCAGCAAAGCAAGTGCTGCAAGGCTCAACGCATGGACGTATTGAAGTGATGATTCAAGTGGGAAAATGTATACCGATTTGTGCCAATTAATTACCGATAAATAATGGAATTCGATACCTTGCAACCGTATACTGACTTACGGAAAACCCTGCACTCTGAGAGAGAATGCCAGAGTCGATGCACCGACTACGAATACCAAATGCGAATGGTATGAACGTGTGGGTAAGCTTCCACCACAACGGCATGAAGATTATAAGCCGGATAGTCCGAGTTGATCCAGAATTGCAATAATATTTCACAGCCCCTCATCTCCACCCCCATAAAAAAGGAAAATGCAACATGCACTCATGGGGTAATAAAAAGGCCACAATACATCGTAACACTTCCAAGATTTTAACGTTGGCTAGGTACATAGCGAATTGGAATAGAAGCGGCTTTGGCCTACAATCATCAGGCGAATCTTCCTTTCTCTCTGCCTGCAGAATCTCATTTCGAATTTTCTATCGACTTTCAAGACGCCTTAGTCTTATCTCCGCTGAGAATAAACGAAATGCGTGCTGATGTGGAAGTCAGAGACACACGCACTCATTAGGAACATTAGCACCCTTTACCGAAAAAGTGAAGCGGACCCAGTAACCTTGTGTGAGCATTCCCCCCACCGAAGAAGCATGTGATCGAGTCAGCAATGACATCTAGTGTGGCGAACTGAAAGCTCTCAGTATTCCTCCGATACTGTAGATGTCAGGATGTGCTCCCGTGGGAGGACGACTATGCGGCTGGGCTTTCAGAAATTTAAAAACCTCTTGTTTGCCTAGCTATTCCGGATTTGCGACTCACCTCGTGTTTGTTTTTTCAACTTTGACCTTCAAAATGTCGATGAATCCACATGCAGAATGGCTTTTTCATGGAATGGAGGCGATCAGATCCAGATGAATCTAAATTCTGTGGGGAAAATGGAGTTGAGGGAAATCCCAGAAGCGAGATATTACTCATTTTATTCATCATCATTCCCATGCACTCACACATCAACGATGGATTAACGAGCGATGAGGATGCTTCTGTCTCTCTATGATGACGATGAAAGGCGGAATCAAACAAAGCTTTGATCGGCTGGGGAATGTCAAGTCTTTGTTTGATGGCGATTCGGGCTGGGGGCGACGGGACGAAGTTAGTAACGAATGCGGGAAAAAATGGATTATGATGACCGGGGGGGGGGGCTTTTTTTTTCTTTCAGTTCGCAGGCATTCGCAGCATCACTCGCCGTCTCGGAAATATTTCATCGATTTTTTTCTCTCTCTTCATGTCGTTCGGTGCGAGATTCCCGTCTTCGTTCTTTTCTCTCTCTTTCTCTCTCTCTTCCCCCCTTTTCAATAGTAGTAACGGTACGCTGCAAAGGGAATCAGACGCGATAAGGAAAAAAAATTCAACTAATCAATGAAATAATAAACTAATCAACGAGGTAATGATCAACTAATCAAGGAGGTTCGAAAAATCGAGATCTAAACTTTTTTTTTTCAAAACTCTCTTGTCTGAAAATTTTACTTGAAAAACAATCTGATCTGATTCATGCTCAGGAAATCAACTTTGGCATGCGATTTTCTTGCGGTTTTGGAGCAAACTTTACAGTCCACGCCCTTCGCTAATTTCTCTCTTCACAGCTGCGCTATTTTCATTTCTGCCAAGGCATCATGCACCGAAAAAAAAACCTGGAAATATTCCTCTCATGCCACTGCTGGAATCGAGGGAAGAAAATACCTCGATTATTAACGAAATCCCAACAATCACTCTCCGGAGGCTCCTAACGTCGATGCTCCTCTGTGCGAAGAGAAATTCACTTTCACAAACAATTCACTTAACCCCTCAGGAAAGTGATTCCAATGAATTTCAACGATAATTTTTCAAATTTGGCCATCTTTTTTTTCATCTTGCAATAGTGCGACGAAGGATTTTGCATGAATTATTCTAAACATGAGAATTAAATATGAGAGGAACTTAGAGAGTAAACAGCACGATGAAAAACTCGTGGTTGCTCTAATTGGTGTCCCCTGAAGGTGAGTGAATTGAAAATTAATTAGGAGCATCAAGAGGACGCCAAGCCTGGCTCCATTGAGAGGTCCCTGAGTTTTTCCAATAGGCGTCTAATACTTTAAAATGCATTTAAAACATAATTCAGATTTAATGAGTCACAATCATTAATGTGAACAATTTTAATTATTAAAAAGGATTTTGGAGTCGCGACTCACAATAGGGTCGGTGAGGGCGTCGGGTCCAGACGTAGGTGTTCTTCACTGGCGAGAGATAGGAGTACTCGGGCGAGTAGTTGCGGACCGGGTTATGAGAGACGAGGTGGGGGCGGAGGTGGGGGAAGCTCCACCACCACGGCTCCCTCGCCCCGCCCGCTCCCAGGTGGGACGGCCGGGTCTCGCTCGAGTAGAACCCGCTCGGTGGCGTCCTCATGTACCCAGAGCGAGTGTACAACGGCCTGTCTGCAAGGGGGGAAGGTGGCGATTAGCGGTGGGTGTGTGTGTGTGTGGGGGGGGGGGGGGGGGGGGGGGGGGGG